CCTTATTTAAAATATTTTTCATTATGTAGACTGTACTGGGGACTATGGTTGTTCAATTTTCCATGTGTCCACAAGGAACAAAGACCATAGTGTCTATACATGTCTAGGCAATTTTTTTCTTGCATCTATTCATTCTCCATCTGAGTTGTCTTTGGTATGTGAGATAGATGTGACAAATTCACATGATGTGACTATTTCTAGTGGAAAAATAACATAAATTTCCAGCACGTTAATTTGAAACACCCATCAGATTATTTTGTCCACATCTTCGAGGGATGAAAATTGACAAGAACTATAGTTTCTATTAATTTTATAACATAATTTTTCATGTAGTTTAATTGAATCAACTTCAAATCTAAAAATCAATTCATTTTGAAATGAAAAAGGTATATCCAAGCTCTTACTGAGTCTGCCACAAAATATCTAATTTCTAAGTTACTGGCAAGATTTTGATTTAACATCACATGCAAAAGTTCTGGATCCCATGCAGTCTTGGTGGCAGATTCAAATCCTACAATCACACCTGAAAAAAATTCTACGTGAGCTTCCATTCAAATTTACCCTATGATGTTTACTAAGGTAGATAATTAGTTATGGTAGAAGAGAGATGATTTTCTACAAATTGAAAACTAAGGCATTTTCATCACATTTATTATAAGATAGTCTTAAGTGTCAAAACAAACCGAGGAATATGATAATACAGTAGATCCACCTGTGTTAGTCAGGAATATGATAATACTTTTTAGTTTAGCACATCGAATGATATCGAATTGCATTTATGGATATGTACAGAATTTTATAACTAGCTCATAATGCCAGGGTCTGCATATGGAAGTTTCCCTAAAAAGTATCAAGTTTCTTGTCTATTGTGTCCATCAACCAAACTTGGTAAGAATTGCATGACCAAACACTAGGAGACTTAACTCTTTCCAAAGGCAAAAGAAGATCGGTAGGCATCTGGTCTAATAGGCAACAGCAAGGAGCATAATTCACAAAATAGTTCAATTCATAATGGAGATAGGAGGCAGTGATGGTAGTAAAACAGTCCCACATCATTCAGTATGTCAGACTCCGAGAACTAGGAGTAATACATAATTGTAGAGAAAAATCATCCTCTAATCTAACATTCATCAGGATATCTTCAATTTCTAGTAGATGTAGACTAGTAATATTTACATGCATAAATTGGGGAATGATTTTGTTTATATGGATACAAGAGAAGTGGGGATCTTTTGTCTTCTGTTCTGTTTCTTTATATTGAGAAAGAGAGAGAGAGAGAAATGTAGTGATTGTTGATATTTCAAATATCAAACTTTTAATTCAAGAAAGTAGACAGCAAATCAAACATATAATACTGATTTATGTTTTCCTAGTTCAGTTAAACATTCAAATACTTGAATCTATATAACTATTTAATGCAAGAAAACATACAACAAATCAAACATTTTCTTTTTTTGTTAATACTGAATCATGTTCTCCTAGCTTAATGAAACTCTCAAATAATTGAACCCATATAATATGGGACACACCATGATAGCATGCATTGATATTTCATAAAAAAAATAAAAAAATCTACCCATCTTATTAGAATATCTGGGTACTCTAAACATGAACGGCAGCAAGGTGATCCATAATCATCCTGAATTTAATACAAATTGGATGGAAATCACAATTCAATTTGTCTAGTAAGCAGTATTATACCACTTGTTATCATCATTGTAATATGACCATTGTTAAGTTTTTTTTTTTTTTTGCAACGTGATATCCAATTCAACTGTATAATATGATGCCTAAGATCTTATCACAAGAAACGGTTAAGAGCATTTTTGTGGATGAAGATCTTAGTCTGTCTTTTGAAATTGCATTTTTAACCCTAACGCTCTATTGTGCAATCGGAAGGGATTGAGAAACCCTACTCCAATTACAATTTAGGGAAATACACAATCTACACCAGCTAGGTCACATATATCAATTCCAAGTTCAACTCTTCCACGCTTGATAAAAAACATTAAGGGTAAAAGATATGCACAACCAATGATCGTAGAAATTCAGAGACAAAAAGAAAAAAATGCTGCAGAAAAGTTGAGAAAAATTGGAAGGAACCTATGAATAAGCATATGGTAGTATTTCCAGTAAATCTCTAAAAAGAAATGTTCTTTCAACACAGTTCTTCCATCTGCAACTGTTTCTCTCGAACATACATGTAATCAAGAATGATGAAACCCGAGTAACGTGGTTTTAGTGCACAACCATAAGAGAGATATGGTCAGTCCACTACCCTAATCGAAACTCCCTTGCCACTTGTGTCAGGAGGCAAAGAAACAATCTCTCACCGTACGACGACTTTTATTATGATAGCTTCTTCTTTTCAGAAGAATAGATCGATTGATCCGACTTCTCCACCATCCAGCGCAGATAAAGAAGCAAAGGTAGCAACAATGAAGACCTACAACGTTGGACTGATCCCTACTCCACTGTTACTGACAGACCTGCTCCTCTTTTGCATGGCCACGATTTGACTGCTCACTACCCCCAACCCGAACCTCTCTCTCTCTCTCTCTCTCTCTCTCTCTCTCTCCAGCTTCAACCTTCAAATTAAGACTCACTTGCGGTGTTGACTTCAGGAAAACAAAGACAAAGATTAACATTTACCGGAAGGAGAGTTTCCGGTTGCGGTTGTGGTGGCGGCGGCGGAGGATGCTTTGCACAGATTGGTGAGTTGCATCTCGATGTCGTTGAGGAACGATGCAGCCTCGTCGAAGGGTTTCGACAGATCCTCCTTGTATCGCACCAAAGCAAGGCAGTATGATTCCTGCGCCACTGACTTCGATCACAAAACCTTCATTGTAACCATATAGAAATCTAATTGCTCGAACAGCAGCAGCAGTATACAGTCTCAAAGTCGGTCAGATATAGCATACACACACCGGTAATACAAAACAGCAGCAGTGAGACTGAGAGAGAGAGAGAGAGAGAGAGAGAGAGAGCGTTCATGTGGTGACCCCATCTCGTTACCATGAACTCGTCGAGCTCCGGATCCGCTCCAATTTCCCCACCACCCGTGCTCGAGTGCCCCTCGCTCCCGATCTCTTCCAGGAGCTGCGCCACCTCCGGCGGCGCCCCCACCTTCAAAGGAAAAACGTCATGTGGGATAACCCATCGCCAGGTTCACTTCGACAAACCCTCTCTTCCCAAACACTGTTATATCCATATGATGATCAGTACCTTTCGGCACTCGATGTAGGCGGATAAAAGAGACGGGTACAGAGGGTGGTTCGCAATTTGAGCTTTGATCATGTCCGTCAGATCCGACCCCCCGCCGCCGCCGATCACCTGCGACGCCTCGTTTGTCACCTGGCAGCTCGACACCGATCCGATGACCGGTATATCCCCTCCCCGCAGGATTCCCGGATGTATGCTGTACAAATCTTCCATCTTCCTCCTACTTCACAAAGATGTTCCTTCAAATCAGTAGGCAAAACGCCAAAACATGAAAAGGTAACATAGAAAATTAAATAAGAATAAGTCCTTGAAAAAGAGGACAATTAAATTACTGTAATGAGAATAACGACTAGAAAATAGAGCACATACGCCTACTATAAGAGGATGATCATAAAAGCTAGGGATGGAAGAAACAAACAAGAACCCCACAGGTGCTGCTGAATATAGCGGTCTGATATGAAAGGAAACAAAATCTGGATCAAGCCGTCGACTTCAGAAGAAGAGCAGCTTACATTTACCGCTACCGGAAGAGTAGGAAGAAAAGAATGAAAACGTCAGTAGCAAAGGAAAGGCAAGCCATCTCCATTTTTCTTTGTTTTTCTGGTTCTTTAGGTTTGGAGGAACAATAAGCAGTATTTTGTACCAAAACAAATGGTAAGAAAGATTAATATATACGTAAATATATATAGAGAGAGACTATTACTAGATGGAGAGGAGGGGGAGGAGGGCGCACGTGGAAGCACGGTTCTTTATGAGAACAACAGTAGTGGGAACAGTGGACCAAAGGAAGATGTTGAGGGCAGGGCGAAAAGGGGGCCGGCCCTATTTATAGCCGTCCCATCATCATTAACATCGACGTACCGTTCCGCCACGAGTCGGGCGAACAGAGGGGGGTGGGCCAGATCAGACGGCTCGGGTACTCGCATCACCGGGAACAGCTTCGCCCGAACTCGGCCCTGCACCCAACCTTTTCCCTCTTGCTGAACTCTTCCTCTCGTGGCCATGCCTGCCTCCCTTTCTCTCCTTTCGGCGACCCTCATAAATTTGGCTTGAGACAACAGCTGCCTCCATTGCTCCCATCGAGCGAGCTTCATAATTCTGGGTGGGGTTCAGCAGCATATCTGAATGCTTTCAACCGGTTTCCTTGACCTTCGCTTGCCAGCTCAATCTGTGACAGGAAGAAAACACCACCACAAATAAACATACACCGTTGTGAGTGTGTGCGTGACAAAGAAGCAGTCAAAGCAAGCTCGGAAGCAGAAGGCCAAAGGTGTTGCTGCTGGAGTCCATCATAACTTGTGCGGCAGAACTCGAGCGAGGACGCGGTTTTCCTGGGGGCAAGCGTGGTTTAGCTTCCCGGGCTTATTCTAATCACAGGCTCAGGCTCACCTGGACGAAGACTTCGCTTGTTCCCACAGCAGTACTTTGTGCGCTCCACTCGAGGTGATGGGTTTGAAAGGAGAAAGAGAAATAAAAAGAAAGAGAAGTCTCCTAGTCTCCTTTCTGTGCAGGCATCAGCTGCCCGCATAGTACGCACCTGAGCCTTCATAGCTATACCTTGAGCCACTCACTGATCATGGTGAACCATACTGGGACGGGACTCGCTGAAATAAGAAATTTTTGTAGAATCAGATATTACAGATTTGTCGAGTGTTTCTGTAAACTTCTCCTTCTCAGACCTCATGGAATCCGGTTCCGATTAGTCCCAACATCTATCCTATATTATTCCAATTTTCTTATACAGTATATTATAATCTTTAAGAAATTTTTTTAAGTTCTATGGTTTTACTGAATAGCAACCTTTTCAAGGAATTTACCATGGAATTTAGGAAGCGTGAAGATTTTACATCTCTTCATGGAAGGAAAAAAAAACCAAGTCAGATCGATTGAATTGGGAGAATCCACCGTGTAATAGATTCATGTTTGATTTAATTTGAAAGAGTCCAAGCTGTGGTACATTCTTGTCTCTTCTTCTTTTCTTTTTCGCCCTTTTTTTTTTCTTTTTCTCTGACTTCGTTAAAGGAGCGGAGCGGAGAGATTATATGAGATCGGGCAAAGGGCAAAAATCAAATCCAGAAAAATCAAACGATATATATATATATATATATATATATATATATATATATATATATATATATATATATATATATATATATGCTTTGGAGCACAGAAAGAAGCTTACTTTTGGCTTTTCTTTAAGCGGACAGAAGTTGTTTTTCTTTACCTTCACAATGAAACCCAAGCTCTTCTAAGATAAATATGCTTAAAATGACAGACTAAATTCAAGTATAAATGAGTTAATAATGGGATCACAACAAATGCTTGGTTGATGAATTGTTGATTGGTGTAATAAGTATTGTTGATGAATTGACATGATTGGTTCACTGTCAAACATGCAAGCTAATCCAGATGTCTTTTCCTGACAGACATGGGAGACTTGGTGAGGTGAGACCACATAGACAATCAGAAGTCATTCTATTGGTGAGGACCTAGTTCGGGACTACCAGATAGGTGAACTGAGATCTTCCTGATCACAAGATTCCTCCCTAGGGGTCGGGTCATCTAGGCGTCCTCAGGTAATTGACGATCTTGTTGAATCTCAAATTTTAATGATTAAATAAATTGATAAAGTTTGTGATCAAATATGTATTTAAGTGACGCAAGACTAGCTTCAAATAGGAAAGGTAAATTGATTAAAGCAAGAAGAATAATAAGTTGGGTTGGAATTGAACATGTTAGAAGATTAGATGTCAAACCATAGGAATGGTCAATATGTCGGCAAAAGGCTTCGTGCCATGAGTTTGGGTATCGGGCCAAGAAGATCAGATATTGTGCCAAGAAGATTGGATGTTGTGTGAAGGCAACATATTGATTGGGTAATATGACAAAAGAGAGGACGATACGCTGAAGCGTTGAATGAAGCACGAATGAACCAATGACATGCCAGACAACTTAGTATTCTTGCTTGTAATAATTCATCTAGATCGAAATAGTTTTAGTTGTAATTAGCTTAGTTTAGAATATAATTAGGCTAACACAATTAGGGGCCAACTGAGCCCTAATTGAGGTTTTTTTGAGCTAAGAGAAAGGCTCATTCAATGACCCAAAAGTTGGGTCAAGCGATGGGATCATCGGTCCAAGCGGTGGCACCACCGGTCCAAGCGGTGGCACCACCGGTCCAAGCGGTGGCACCGCTAGTGGCTCAGTCTCCGAGACATAGTCTCTAAGATTGTGTTAGGTGGTAGTACCACCATATTGGGCGATGGTACCATCCAGTGTCAAGCGGTGGTACTGTCAATCTAGGCGGTGGTACCTCCTAGACATAGTTTCCCAAACTGTGTCAAGTAGTGGTACCGCCAGATTGGGCGGTGGTACCACCCAATGTCAGTGCTACAAGTGGTGGTACTGCTAGTACCTAAAAAATTAGGGATAAGACACTTTTAGGCTCCAAGTTTGAATCCATTTGGGGCCTATAAATACCCCTCTCATCCCTGCTCAGAGAACACAAGAACTGAGAGCAAAAGAAAGAAAAACGATGTTGTAATCTTGTGAGAACTCCTCTCAAGCTCTAAGTGTTAGTGAAGTTTAAGAGAGGAGGTAGTGGGAGTGTAAAGTTTCTCTCCTGGACCTGACAAAAGGAGAATCAAGTTATAAGGGTAGTTGATCTTTGCCCATTAAAAGAAGATCGGTAGTGGAAGCCGGTGGCCTCGAGTGAAGAAGAATTGAGAGTAGATGTAGGTCACGATGACCGAACCACTATAAAACATTATTTGCATTTCTATTCTTGCTATTTACCTTTACTGTAAGCTGCCTTACTTACTTACTGCATTTACTACACTTACGAATGAGCTTTCAAGTTAAACTCATCTTTCCAACATCGATTTTTATCGTACGAAGTTTTAAACCAGTGATTTTATCGTAAGAACTAATTCACCTCCCCCCCCTCTTAGTGTCGACTCGATCCTAACAGATCCTACATGATAGGCCGACATTGAGGGTTGCCCAACGAGGCCCCTCCGATATTTAAGTTAGTGAAGGGGAGAAAATAGTAGTGTAAGCTATATAACTAAGTTAGTGGGTAGAGAGAGAGAGAGAGAGAGTGTGTGTGTGTGTGTGCATGATGTTGAATCTCGTAATTTGATGATGAAACCAATTGATAAGTGTTTATGATTTGATCTACGTTTTGAGTGATGCGTGATACTTCGATCAGGGAGAGACATTTAAAGCAAGAAAAATCATATTGGGCTGGAGAAACATGTCAGAAGATTGGACGTCGCACCGAAGGATCGATCGACGTATCGACAGAAGGCTTCGGGCCACGATTTCAAGCATCGGGCCAAGAAGAGTGGATATTGTGCTAAGGATATCGGAGTTGCGGAGGTCAACTGGCCGATTGAGCAATAGGCCGCAAGAGAAGATGATGCGCCAAAGAATCGGATGAAGCATCGATGACCCAATGACATGCTGGACAACATGATTCAAAGCTTTGTAATAATTATCTAGATCAAAGTTATTTTTATGTGTGCAGGATTAACTACGATAGCAAGGCATAAAGCAAAATGAAGTTCCAGAGTCAAGAACGCAATTTGGTTTGGAGTTCGAGAGTTCGTCGGAAGTCTGGACGTTCGTTAGAAGTTCTGTCGGAACCAACCGAGAAGTCCAGGAGCTTGCCAAAAAAGCTCGTTGGAACTCTCCAAGAAGATCGTCATGAAGTCTAGGAGCTTGCCGGGAGTCCGTTGGAACATTACCGAGAGATCATCGGAAGTTCGTCGGAAGATCGCTAGAAGCTCGCCGGAAGAAATCAGACTTATTTTGCTTAGAATATGTCTTAGAAATCGTAGTTAGCATATAATTGGAGTTAGGATTGGGAGATAATCCCATCAACTATATTAGGGGCCAATTGGGCCCGAAGTTGGGCTGGTTTGGGCCGAATTTAAGGCCCAACTAGGATGCTGAAAGCTTGACCGATGGTGGCACTGATTGGGAGACTTAGTCTCCCAAGTGGTCTAGGCGATGGTACCGCTGGTAGTAAATGTTGCCAACGGTGGTACCGCCCTTGTTAGGTAGTGGTACCGCTAGAGCTCGGTCTCCGAGCTTTGTCAGGCGGTGGTACTGCCCAACACAGGCCGTGGTACCGCCCGTACCTAGGAAACCCAGGATGAGATATTTTTAGGCTCTAAGTTTGAATCAACTTGAGGCCTATAAATACCCCTCTCATCCCTGGTTAAGAAACATAAGTACAGAGAATTTAAAAAGGGAAAAACGCTATTGTAATCTCTTGTGAGAATCCTCCTCTTCTAGTTTAAGTGTTAGAATAGTTTGAGAGAGGAGTGAGTGCTTATAAAGGTTGTCTCCTAAACTTGTGAAAAGGAGAAGAGGGGTGTAAGAAGGAGGTTGATCTTCGCCTATTAAAGAAAGATCGATAGTGGATGCTGGTGGCCTCGACGGAGTGGATGTAGGTCACGATGACCGAACCACTATAAAACTCAGTTTGCATTTCTATTTATGCAATTTATCTTTACTGCAAACTTACTTGCTTTACATCCACTACTCTTTTCCGTAGGCTTTTGATCTCAAGTATCTTTCCGAAATCAGTTTTACAATACGAAGATTTTCAAAACCAACGTAGGTTTTA